TCTACCATTTTTATATTTTTTCTTTAAGAATTACAAGATGAGGTATTCGTGGACACTGTTTTTTTAAAATCTTTTAGCAAAAGAATGTAAGTTTACACGTTGATATTAGAATTAAGAATGGTGTATTCTTTCCTTCTCCATGCGAATCCTTTTCTCGAATCAAGACCTCCTTATTTATTAAGGAGGTATTCGGCCTTGGATATGTCTTCTTTCTTTATTTTTCGGACTTGAATCTTCAGTTTTCCTCTTTTTTCGGATCTCCATCGTCATCAAACAAAAGGAACAATTTTCTTTTTGTTTACGACATGTCGAGTGACAATCTCCATGAGTTTTTGCTCATGGGCCAATTACTGGTGGCGCCAGAAAAAGGGATCGAACCTCCCACCTTATAAAGAATGAAACAAAGGAATATATTTTTGTTATCCTAAAAACTCATGAAATGAAATAGGATTTTATAATTGCCAATAACTAAATCCTGTAAAACTGCAGAAATATTCGGCCATTTTATTTTAGCTTTCAACTTTTTTTTATGTAGAATAAATTATTCAAAAAAGTCAAAACACGTTACACAATAGTTTTGTTTGTTTAAGTTGTACATATATTATAATTCACATGGCATGCATGTTGGACTTTTTATAAATACCAAAGAAGATGGAGTAAGAATTTGAACTTAGAAGGTAGAGAAAGAAAAATAGCGAAAGAGAAAGAAAGTGAGGATGCTGATAAAGAGAATAAAGCTATGCATAGAGATTATGAAGATAGCAAAGGAGTTCTTGGTGGTGGTGGCTAACACCGTCACAATCTTCTCCACCTTCTCCGGCTCTCCTCCGCCGTGGCCTCTACTCTTACTAAGCCTCCCCTTATCATCCTTCTTCCCTGAGTTTGTAATCTTTTGTTTTTAGTGCTTTGTAATATTCTTGTTCTTTATTTTATAATGAACTAGATAAGGCCCGCCTAAATAGGCGGGTATAATATATAAATATAAATTGTTATCGATGATATTTGAATTTTGATTAATATAATAATCCATTCACTTTCCCTAATATTTAATAATTTAGTATTTTTTTGTTTTAAACAAAAATTAAATCTGACACATTCCATTTTTCTATACATTTTAACTATTTATTTCATCATAATAAACTGAATTTTAATTCTACACACTCTTTCGTATTGATGATATTTAAATCTTAAATAGTAACCGACACATTTTTTATATAATTAATTTAGTATTTTTTTAAAAACGAAATTTCAATCTTGCACATTCCATTTTGTAATATAATTTAACTATTTATAACATCATAATAAACTTGATTTTAAGTCTTTATAGTTCATCTTAATGGATAAACTGCTAATAATAATTTTGTATCAAAATCGTATATATATCATATTAAATCTATATCTTAGTTAATATTAAAATTTTAAATATAATTAACAAATAACAAAACATTTAATAAAGAAATAGAAATCCACAAAAATTATGGAAAACAAACATTGTTTAAAATAGAGTTTTCGATATAACGTAATCTCTTAAGTTAGTTTTACCTCATGGCAAACTAATTTTAAATGAGTTAAAATTAATAAATAAATCATTAAAAATATATGTATTAACATTCTCATTAAGTAATCAAAAATTCAATCATATAAGCCACTTTCCCAAATATTTTTAGTTTATAATTATGCTACATGCACTAAAATTCTTAAAATAAAATTAAGTATAACCACACTAATTTTCTTATCAAATACTCAAATATTCGTTCGTTTTTATAAACTCATTAGTTTTTGTAAAAAATTTGTGTTTTCATTTGACGAATAAAAACACTATATTACGATGATAAATACAATTTTATCCAATTAAATTAATGTTAAATAACTTATTTTGTTATTTAAAACTTCAACCGTTATTGTTTATTTGTTAATATCCATACTAAATGATTTTATAGAAAATAATTAACACATGCCAAATCTAATTGACCAATAACACATGTGAAGAGAAATTGTTAGTTTTCATTTTTGGCTAAGAAAAATAAAGTTAACAAATTTAAAAAATTAAATATATAAATTAGTATATGTAAATATTCTTTTTTTTTAGTTTTCCTATTTTGTTAATGAAAAAAGTTAAATTTTTTTGACACATGTCAACATCTGATCGATAGACTTGACACGTGTCACGATCATGCGAGTTATTAACTTTATAAATTAGTATATGTAAATATTCTTTTTTTTAGTTTTCCTATTTTGTTAATGAAAAAAGTTAATTTTTTTTTACACATGTCAACATCTGATCGATAGACTTGACACGTGTCACGATCATGCGAGTTATTAACTTTAAAAAGTATACTTTATATAATAAGATGCCCATGTATATTCATTACTTAATTTTCTAATAAATCACCTTACTCTACATGTATGTAGTTTAAAAATAATAACTAGTTTTAGGCTTTTTAGCCATTCTCATACGTTATCACTTGAGTTTGTAATTTTTGTTTTGTTTTCCAGATTACTTCTTTTTTTCTTTTCTGAGTTCCATCGTTGGAATTAGGCTTTGGGTTGGGTTTTCCAGGTTTTTGGTGTTGGAACTTGTTTTTGACGAAGTGGTTGTAACCACTTTTCTAGTGGATTTTTCCGTGAAGATTTTCATCGGAATGACCGAATCTTAGGCAATAGGCACAATTGAATCGTTGTTGTGAGCCTTACATGTTGATGTATTGGAATGTCAAAAACGGAGTTCGTTTAAATGAAAAATGGAAATTCAAAGTAGCTAGCTAGGTTTTCGCGAATGTCAATACCTTCTAGTTCTTTTGTTGCCACATACCTTTGATATTAGGTAGATCTTGTAGATGAGATGAAGCAGCTTGATGTGGTCACTTGGTTAGTTGGTGCTTTAGTTTTACAAAAAAAAAAAAAAAAAAAGACAAAACTGTCAAATTGAGTATGAGAGAATTTTAGATGATATTATTAAGCTCTAAGACCATATACTCCCTCCGTATTTTAATAATTGTCGTTTTAGAATTTTTATTTTTTTGAATTGGATGTCGTTTTCAAATTTCTATGCAAAATTTATTACTTTTTAATGTTTTATGATCATAAAACATTAAAAAGTAATAAATTTTGCATAGAAATTTGAAAACGACATCTAATTTTAAAAAAAATAAAATCCTAAAACGACACTTATTAAAATACGGAGGGAGTATTTATTAAGGAACTATAACGATTTGTAATTATCAACAAAGGAAAATATACTTATTATTCCTAATAAAAACAGCTAGAGACAAAAGAAGAAAAAAGACGAAACGGTAGTAAACGACGCCTTATTGCCGAGGAAAAGAAGAAGAAGAAAAAAAATCAAGAGTCGTCATAACTCTTGAACCCCTAAATCGTGACTTCTCTCTCAAGGAAACTTTTTAATGGTGTTTTGCTATTAAAAAAGAGGAAAATTGATGAAAATTTGGTGTGGTTTTCTTGTAGGATATTAGTTTGTGTGTTGGACGCAATATGGGTTTGTCTTTTATTCTTGCACTCAATGTACAACAGGAGAGAATGACGAGGATGAGAAGAAAAAGAAGAAGACGACATCACAGAGAGATTCATGTGGATGTCGAGAATTTAAAAACTTGGGTCGCACCAGAGATTCCTCTGGATCTCCTAATCGAGATTCTGACGAGATTGCCTGGGAAATCTGTGTTGAGATTCAAGTGTGTCTCAAAGTTTTGGTCATCTCTTTTCTCCTCGAGATATTTTCGCAATCGTTTTCTTATGGTCTCATCTCAACGTCATTCTCGTCTTTACATGTCTTTTATGGACCTTTACAACGATTCTAAGTCTATGCTTCTATCATCCGCTCCAATAAGCAGCACATTTCCGTCCTCCTTATTATTCGACCAAGATCTGACCATCCGCAAGATGGGAGGTTTCTTATTGCGCGTTCTCCGTGGCTTCATCTGCTTCACAGTTGACTCTAAGCCGCGTATCTATAACCCCACCACCAGACAACTTGTAATCTTACCTGCCATGGAAGAATCTGTTATCATAGCTGAAGAAGAAGATAATTACGAAATATTCTTCTTTATGGGCCACAGCCCTGTTAAAGATCAGCTCAAACTACTGTGCACAATTACGACAATGTCAAACGATATGCAAAAGATAGAATCAGAGCTTTGGGTCTTTGTACTAGAAGCTGGCGGTTCGTGGAAAAGGGTTGCAAAGGAGTTTCCTCCTCATCTTCCTAGTCCATATGAACTGAATATGAATGGAGTTTTATATTACTTGGCTTGGACTGATATGCATACTTGTGTGCTTGTGAGTTTCGACTTCAGGTCGGAAGAATTCAATATGATTCAAGTACCTCGCAAGGCCGGTGATAAGATCCTACCTAGACTTAAGAAGTGGTTGACTCAAATAGATTATGGTGGAAAAGTAGCTGTGTTTGACATGACTTATCTCAAAGTGAGGGGTACGGTGGATCTATGGGTAGTGCAAGATTGGAGGAATAAGGAATGGTTGAGGAAGACTCTGGTTTTGCAGCCTTCTCAGCTTCATCCAATCTTTGACAATCATAGATTACTAGCAAAAGGAACTCTAAAAGGCAAGGTTATATTGGTACCGCGATATTTGGTTTCTCCCTTTTACTTTCTTTGCTACGATCTGCAACTCAATGATTTGAAAAAGGTTGAAATCAAAGGAATACCTTATCGTTGGTTTAGTAAGCATAACATGGACATATATTGTGACATTGAGTTTATGAATCCGAGTGAGAGCATTGAGTACCTTGAAACTTGAAATCGTTTCTACTTTTCTTGTATCATTTAAATTATTCTCGTTTCTACTTTATTTGTTTGTTTAGCGAATACTATTATTGTGTTCTTTTTTTATTTAATATAAACTTATTCAGCTCAAGTGATTCTTGTTTGGTCTTTTGTGGTTATTATCGGCTAGAGATTGTTTTTTCGTAGTTATTACTGGCAGAGAATATATATGTACACTCCAATATTGAATCATTTTGCAGCTATGATCTGAATCAAGTATTAGAGTGACCGTTGATGGGAGGATACCATTTTCCTGGCTTTGTTTAATTGGCCATGTTGTTGTGCTGCTAAGTTTCTGTAAACTACTCTTTCTTTGGATCATTGAGTGGTTGTGAAGACTGAAACAGGGTCTTGACAACGGTTGTTCATGGGTTTTGCTTGGAGAAGAAGCTCAAAGATGCTGTAAAATGAACTAAAGGTTCAGCCCGAAAACACTACTTTGAAGATAACGTTTGAGAAATTTCAAGGAATTGATTGATTGGTGCCCACTAGGGAGTATGGTTTCTGTAAGAGTATGGTTTTTTTACATGGACAACGTTATTACAGACAGCAAAGGTAAACAGTAGAAAAAAACAATTTTCAAAGAGATCTTCAAAACCTTTAATAGATTTTTCAATATGGTAAATTTTTTTTTCCCATAAGATTACGTTTTCAATACTTTTCTATTTCATACTAAAAATTACTCATTTACATGTACAGATCGGAGGAATGATATTTTGTTGATTTATTATTTTTTGTTTTTTGATATATTTAAAAAAATATATAATAATTTGTTTTTAATTATATATGTGGTTTAAAATTATCGGTTACAATAAAAATTATATTTATTTTCAATTATTTATTATAAATGAATTATAGTGATAGAATTTTAAAGATGATAATTACTACACTATTCACATTTACATAGTATACAATACACTAATACACAACTTATACACCTATATACTAATACTAGATTTTAACCCGCGGTACACCGCATGATGATTTATTTTTAAAAGTTAGTATATATAAAATTTTGCAAATTGTATTTTCTTATAAAATATTTATATTTTATAGTTTATAATTGTTATTAAGTAACGGTATACCACGAGTCCACGAGATAATTGTTAATGAACTAAGGATTTAACCCGTATTAAAGCGGCATATTAAAGATATTTTAAATTTTATAAATATATTCAAACCCGTCTGCCATATATAAATCCGTTCCGAAATAAAACCCATCCCGTAATTTCTTAAACCGTCCCATGATTTGTTTTCTAAAAATTGTGATTTTAAAATATAACGATTATTTATTATATATAAAAGTTTACAGATTGTATCATTCTCTAAGACATTTATATTTTAATAAATTGAGAATTTAATATGTATTAAAGTGGCATGTTAATGATATTTTAAAATTTCTTAAATATTGATTCAAACTCGTCCACCATATAACTCTGTTCCAAAATATAACCCTTCATGTAATTTCTTAACGTCGGTGATTTATTTTCTAAAAATAGTAATTTAAAAAATTTAACAATTATTTATTATATATAAAAACTTGCAAATTGTATCATTCTCTAAGACATTTATATTTTATTATTTTATAGTTTACAATTGTTATTAAATAACATTATACCACATGACAATTTTTGGTTTTGTACAATCCTTTCTAAATGAGACTGATTTGATATGTATAATATTAGTGGTATTAAAAAAATTGAGGATTTAATCCGTATTGAAGTGGCGGATTAATGATATATATTTATTTATTTTATTATTGTTGATTCAAAAACTTGTCCCGCCAAACCCGTCCCGCCAAAAAACCTATTTATTTTTTAATGTTGATCTTATTATTCATCTTACCAAATACAAATTTATACAAATAGCAAATTTTTCTTTCTATAATAATACCAAACTATTCATCTTACCAAAAAAAAAAAAATACCAAACTATTCACATTTACATACTATACAATACATGAATACAGAACTTATACAACTCTATATACTAATATACAAATATATACATAGGACAACAATATCTTTCTATAATAATACCAAACTTATAATTGTAAACGGACAGAATAATGTTTTTCAGTTAAATTTTAAAATTATAAATTTAACATTTACACAGATAAATCACTACAAGAAACAAGCCCGTTAACGTCATTATATTAAAGTCAATTAGTATACCGACTTTAAAATTTTGCAAAGAAAGGAAAATACTGTCAGTTTGTAAACCGACGTAATGTTTTTGAAGCCCAAATTTATTACGATTCCAATTCATCACTTTACTAAAGCCCAAGTTTATTTTCATAAAAGCCCAATAGTACATACTTCTAGAAACTATGTTGACTACGATTTTTTTGACTCGTCTCCTTCGATCTCTGAGTTTGATTATGTTGATTACGATTATTTTCTCTTGAGATCTCGCATCAAAGCTCGATTCAAAGGTTTGTCTGTAGAAATTTTGAAAAGTTGATTACGATTTTGGTTTGCTACTTGATTATAACCTAAATTTATCCACATTGTGACGAAGGAGACTCGGAGGTGAAGAGAGTATCGTGACGAAGGAGACTCGGAGCTCTAACTCGAACCAAACGCCGTGAAGAAGGAGATTCAGAGCTCTAACTCGAACCAAACGCCGTGAAGAAGGAGATTCAAAGCTCTAACTCGAACCAAACGCCGTGACGAAGGAGACTCGAAACTCTAATTCGATTTTCAATCAGGTATTGAATATGTTCCCTACCTTAGTTTTGCTTTGTATCTTGAAATTTTGATTGCTATATGAAATTTGATTTGTTAATGCTTGATTGGTGTGAGATTTTTGTAATTTGATTTGTTAATACTTGATATGTGAAATTTTGGTTGTCGTAGCTAGCCTTGTATTGTTATTTGGTTCATCAAAGAATTGTTAGAATTTAATGGTTTTCTCAAGTACTTATTACTGTAAAGCAATTCCCATTTTCTCAGTTTTGAAACTTGAATTTTGGTTGTAGTTTTTGAGATTATAGTTTCAGTGTTGGTGATAAATAACTCTTTATATCTGTTTCAGGAAGAAGAGACTGGTATTGAACCAAGTAGAGCAGAAATGTTTATTGCATCACGTACGAGAGTAGATGGAAGTATGATTTGCGAGGAAGCAACAATTTGTGCGGTTAGTTCTTTGTTTCTTTGAAACGATGTTGTTAAATTGGTTTTTTATTATGTATTATTAGTTTATTCCGTTAGATTTTTGCATATTACAGGAAAAACTTAAAGAAGTTATGAGTCAGAAACTTCCAGGCGATATGCCAAGTAATGATGATGTTGCACAAGTTTTTGGTCCTGAGCACTCTGGACGAGTTCGATGCGTAGGACGTGGCCCGACACCGTCCAAGTACTTTTCAAGCATTGAATCTACATCAAGTAATTTAGAGATGGTCGAGATGAAGTCCAAAATGAAAATACTTGAAGACAAATTTGATATTGTTGCTAGTGCTCTTCAGGTTCTTATTAAATCCAGAGACATCCGATTCCAAGTAAGTGAAGGTATTCTTATAAGATTAACAACGTTAAGAGTACTACAATTTTAAAATGCATTACTTCTATAGGGGAATGAGAATGGTGGAAACATAAAGCTTGCTAGTGCTCTTGAAATTCTTCTTGAAGCTTGCAGAGACAATCAATTCTATGTAAGTAAATGAATGTTCTACTATAAGATTAGTTGTTCTAAGAATGAGAATTGTAGTGGTGGAGTATATAGATTAACAGTTCTAAGACTGAGAATTGTAGTGGTGGAGTATATAGATTAACAGTTCTAATAATGAGAATGAGAACTGGAAAAGAGAAACCTCCTCAAGTTTACAAGTTCATTAATTTTTGTAGGAGAATGAGAATGAGAATGGAGGAAACATGAACCATGCTAATGCTATTTAACAACGTTCTGTATCAAGTATATCAAGTGACAAGGTAACTATCTAATTGAACTTTGTTTTGGAAATCTATGACTCTGTTCTAGAACTTGTATTGATATTTTTATGATGATATTTTCAAATTGTATAATTCTGGAACTTGTATCTAATTTCAGGCAAGATGAAGTGTGTATTACAGAAGCAACAATTTAAGAACTATGGAGAGCTAAAGACAAGATAAATTTGTGATGAAGACAAATTTATATACACGTCATTTATATTCTATGATACTGTTTTCTCTGACATTTATATTCTATGTAAAAACAATTTTTTTTTATTAATTGAGATTTTATACAGATTATCATTTGAAATTGTACATAATTGACTAGAGTAATATATATATAGCATAAAATAATTAAAAAATAAAAATTAGATATAGGTCGGTAGTATAACTGACGCAAAAAGGAAAAGAGTTTTTAACTTTTAAGTCACATGAAACTGTTGTTAGAATCTATAAAACCGACGCAAAGATTTAGTCGTTAAAGTATGTGTCGGTTTTGTAACTGATGTGAAGATAATTAGCGTCAAAGGTTATTACGTCGATTATGAAACTGTTGTTATTTGATTTAAGTCAGTTTGTAACCGACGTAAAAGTCATAATAAAATGACGTCAACTGCCGTATGTCTTGTAGTGAATATGTGTTCATATCAAGAGAACCAAACTTCATTTAAATTTAAAAAACATAATCCCAAGCAAAGCACGGGTATTAACCTAGTCACATGTACAAAACAAAACATAATTATTTTGACCAAAGAATCAAATAAGAACTTAAGAAATAATATATCAACCATAAACGAATATCAAACAATAACGCACATATGTTTATATTTTATATCAAATATGAATGCATTATGTTTATGTTTAAGCAGTGGCGGATCTAGAAAATATTTTTATCGGGGGCAAAGTACTATACCGACTTTTCAAGATAAAAAATAATAATTCATCATATACTTTTTTAGTTTTCTAATATTGCTACATTATAACATTGTTTGGAAATAAACCAATAAAAATTCTACACTAAAAAGACATTTAAGAGAAAGCTAAAATAGAAAAGAAAAACCCATCTAAACAAAATGAATATAATATTGATTTGGGAAATACTAAGTCTAGAATAAGAAAGATAAACAATCAATGCTAAGATTAGGGAATATAATAAGTATAAAAGGAATGAAAATGAATATATATAAAAAAAAAGGGCATCTTGGAATCTGATCATGGTTTAAGGGGTGGCAAGTTGCTTCATTTTACCTTTTGACTTAATAAATCTTTACTAAAATCAATGAAAATACAAAAAAAAATGAAATTTTACCGGGGGCAGCTGCCCCCCTCTTCCACTACGTAGATCCGGCCATGTGTTTAAGCATTAACCTCTTCTTGCACAACCTACCACTGGGCTACAAATAGTTGCAATATTAACTATATAAGCATCAAATTAAATAATATATTTTTAATATTGTTGTACTAGATTAAACATACATTAACAATCAATAAGCATGATTCTATTCTTTGTCGAATTTCATTATAGAATCATTGAATCATGCAATAATAATTAGAAAAACAAATGATAAGCATGATTCTCTTCTTCGTTGAATCATTAAAGTCATGCTTTTACCAATCTATAAACTAATCATTGATTGGCTCAGATTGTATTGTTTCAATAATAGAAAAATCGATACTATGAACCATGAGTCGATAAGTAAACATAGTAAAAAAAAATATGAGAATGTCTACCTTTTAGCTCGTGCCGATAACGTGTTGTAAATAGAGAAAAAAGATAGAAGAATTGGTTATCTTATTCTAATGAATAAAGGGTCTGTTATATAGGAGTACAAAAGAAGGGTTTTACTTGGTGACAAAGTAAAACTTTGGGTACAAATAATTTTAAAGACTTCTAGAAGATGGGCCTGATAATGGACATCATCTATTATTTATAACAATGTACCAATTTTGTTTTCATTTATGTGTATATATGTTACAATTTATATACTTTGTGAAGACTTATACGGTATATTCATTGACTGTTTTCATCTGAAATCTCAAAAACTTGATTTTAAAACGTTTTGCATTTCAGATTTTGTAGGAATTTGAACTATGGATTTGATAGACGGTGAACATGTTGCTGAAACAGGTGAAGAATTATATGCTCGGTTTTTTTTGCAGTGAACTATGGATTTGAGGACTTGATTATGAAATCTGTTTTGGTTTAGATTTCCTGAATTAGCATGAATCTGGCTTTGGTGAAGAATTTGTTTGATTTTGATGTTGATAATTGCTTTTCTAGGTTTGAAATCGATTCTAGCTTTGGGCTTCGTGAACAATTTGTTGATATTGATCAGAATCCTTGCTGTTTAGTTCGATTTTGAGTTGTGATCTTCATTTGAGGACTTGATTTTGAAATCTGTTTTGGTTTAGATTTCGTGAATTAGCATGAATCTGGCTTTGGTGAAGAATTTGTTTGATTTTGATTTGGATTAAGAGATTAGTTTGCTCGAATTTTGTCTGCATTTTTGCTGTTATGGTCCACTGATATGGATTTCGGGAATCGTTTGGCTGGATTCTTCACCAAAGCCAGATTCATGCTAATTCACGAAATCTAAACCAAAACAGATTTCAAAATCAAGTCCTCAAATCCATAGTTCACTGCAAACAACCGAGCATATAATTCTTCACCTGTTTCAGCAACATGTTCACCGTCTATCAAATCCATAGTTCAAATTCCTACAAAATTTGAAATGCAAAACGTTTTCAAATCAAGTTTTTGAGATTTCAAATTAAAACAGTCAATGAATATACCGTACAAGTCTTCACAAAATATAGAAATTGTAACATATGTACACATAAATGAAAACAAAATTGGTACATTGTTATAAATAATATATAACAGACCCTTTATTCATTAGAATAAGATATCCAATTCTTCTATCTCTTTTCTCTATTTACAACATGTTATCAACACGAGCTAAAAGGTAGACATTATCATATTTTTTTTTTTACCGTGTTTACTTATCGACTCATGGTTCATAGTATCGATTCTTCTATTATTGAAACAGTACAATCTGAGCTGATCAATGATTAGTTTATAGATCGGTAAAAGCATGACTTCAATGATTCAACGAAGAAGATAATCATGCTTATCATTTGTTTCTCTAATTATTATTGCATTCTATAAAGAAATTCGACAAAGAAGATAATCATGCTTATTGATTGTTAATTTATGTTTAATCTAGCAGAACGATATTGAAAATATATTAAATATATGTTTAACCGGTCTTGCCAAACAGTGAGATGTTTGGTAAACTTCGGGTTTACTATACACAAGTATATTCATTAAACTACTCTTTATGTAGTACAATCATATAGAAAATATATACAATTTCTCTAAAATACTTTTACGGCATTTCTTTTTTAATACTTGAGATTTGAAAGTATTCAATATTTTCTTGTTATCTCAAAAAGATTCGTTCTAAAATCCCATAGGTTTATTTTACAAAAGATTCATCAATTTCAATTTTCATGTGAACATAATCTTTTAATGTTTCACTTATTATGATATATAAGATTCCTTCACTCTCCCTCTCGAGATGAGAATACTAGCTTTATCTATCTCGAATTGAATTTCTTACTATACTCAATAACATATCCTCCTTCGGTTATGTATTATATCTTAAATCCTTATAAAATTAAACAGCAACTTTAGTTAAATAAACCATAAGCATCAGAACTATATTTCAAGCCCACGAAACATGACAACATTAAAGGATCGATCAAAATTCTTACTCATAAGAAAATATCCACTTTATGAATTATGAAATAAATAAACAGGTTAATAAACATGACCAGATTTTACTGCGGATCAATAAGTGATAAACTAATAGATCAAATATCTAACGTATGACTAAATATGGCAAAAAAACAACAACTTTGTTTTCTACCGCAAGGCATGAGCAAGAGACAATTATTAAGTATAGGATAATACTTATCTCGATAGGGAAATTGTGGGTTATGGACTTACGGTGCTTTTGGAGACGGAGATGAAGACGCCACAAAAGAAAGACGACTTGAATCGGAGATGACGTTGCAGAGAGATCTAATATAGTGACGATGTGAGTGTATGCTTCAATAAACAATAAAGTGTTGAATCATGCTTTCGGTTTGAAAGAATTAAGTGATTAACCGAACTAAACAATAAAGAATAGAAATATTGAGTCATTGTCTCATTGACTAAACATATTGAAATCAAACAGTGAAACAGTAAAGCATTATTATGCGTGGGCTTAGCTTGTTCGAACGAAACAATAATCAATCAATAGAGAATTAATCAAGCAATAAGTTTTGAAGTAACAATAAGATATATTATATATATATATATATATATATATAAAGCAAGTCACGAACTCACGATCATTATAAATGAATATCAGATTCAAACTAACGAGTAACGACTAACTAGATCAATGTAAACCAATACATGGTTAACCAAACCAAACAACATAGGTAATGAAACGAAAAGATTCTACCAAGATTGTGTGGATGTCGGAATCCGTAATTAATTATTTCGTCGTTTTCGTCGGATCTCTAGTCTCGGCGGTCGAATATCGATTGTAAAAAACAAGAAAAAACTTGAGAAGAAAAAGTGTTTGTATTGACTTTTATAGAAAATTTTCCGATCCCCTTTACAAGGTTATACCATCCTTACTATAAATTCGGGATCCGGGGTAATAAACCCCCCCCCCCCCCCCCCCTTTTTTACGCCGCTAATTCCATCTCTTTTATTACATCCGTTTCGAAACTTCGAGACAACGGATCCGCAATCAACACCCCTTCATTACTTTGCGAGATCGCTCCGTTTCTCCGAAGTGAAGATTCGGAATTAGTGGGCCTTCGAGTGGGCTTGACCAATGCACAGCTTTGGGTTTACAAAGTGTTAAGGCTCGTTATCTTTGAAGCCCACTAATTCCTTGGGTCAGGTATATTATGAGATCCGACACCAACAGATTGATCGTCGATTTTAATAAGAAATCATTAGCCTATCGTAATCATGTCATGAAAATATTAAGCATGAACCAAGTTCTAATTAATATGGTGGATAGATAGCACTTATCTCAATGAGAAAAATTGATCGGAATTCTTAAACGTTGTTGGAGGACGGGGACAGTGTCGAAGAGATCGGTAGTCTCGGTTTGGTCAACAGCTAAGGTTTCGTCGAAGTTTTTCTTAGCACAGTCGGTTAGGGTTTTATCATAAGTTTCTTTTAGCTCAAACGGTTAGGGTGTCGTGCTGATAACGTGTTGTAAACAAAGAGGTTTTAGCGATTATTTCTCTCTGATATTGAATCAATTGTACAAAATACAACATATATATAGAAATACAACATTAGAAGTCTTATAAAACCTACTAATGGGTCATATAATGGGCATCCATATGTTACATATAATTATTCATAACACATACTTATTTATTTATTATTTTTTTTTGTTACCTGTTCTTTTTTATTTTCCACTATTAATCACATTTAATATCTTTTATTTAAAACAAATTAGTACTAACAAAAACACAAACCAATACTGTTGACAACAAAATAGGAACCGATGGTAAAAGAATAAAAAATATAAAACTATTTAAACTAATAATACATGAACTCGACCTAGTAAAAATTTTTATTACATAAAATATCTAAAAGATCAAAGGACGTTTTCTAAAATTTATTTTATTAATGCTTCCGAAATTTAGTCGAATTATGAATACGTCTTCATCGTTAATAAAATTGAAGGGAAAAGAAAGGTCCTATATAACAAAATAATAAAAGCAGCACAGAAACCCTAACTAAAACCCTAAAACCTGGCAGAAACAGAACACAATGACGACAACTCTTCCGACATCGTTTTCTTCGTTACCGGAAGACATCATTCTCAGTTGCTTGGCTCGTGTCTCAAAATTCTGTCGTCCAACTCTATCCTTAGTCTCCAAGTATTTCCGATCTCTCGTAGCTTCCCCTGATCTTGAGGCCACACGTTCCCGCAACGGGATAACAGAAGATTATCTCTGCGTCTGCTTAAACGTGGGGTCTAAGCCTCGCTGGTTCACACTTGCACCATTCCCACAACAACAGAAACTCAAACCAATCCCTCCTTATTATAAACATCCCGAATCCTCCACCGTTGTTTCAATCGGTTCAGAAATTTACATAATCGGAGGCTCTCTTCATCAAAAGAAAGGAAACAGAGTGTTGGTTCTTGATTGTCGATCTCATCTATGGCGTAGACTACCAAACATGCGTCTCGCTAGAGAAACTCCAGCCGCTGATGTAATCGATGGTAAGATCTACGTGCTTGGAGGCTCGACGTCCCACAAAATCGAGAATTGGGGAGAGGTTTATGATCTAAAGACCCAAACTTGGGAGCCATTATTGTTTACAACATTTGATCTCACCACTCATAAGAGTGTGGTTCCAGGTAAATTGGTAATGGGTGGAAAAGTTTATTCTATGAATGATGATTTGAAGATTAGCTTGGAGAAGAATATTTGCTTGGTAGAGATAGAGAACATGATGTGCCAAATATCGATTTCGAAGGGGATGTTAGTTTGGTATAATCCAGAGGAGAATTTGGGGTGGACTAGGGTTGAGGGACTTGAAGGAGTACCTCGTGATCCATATTTTCCTGGTTATCTAACTTCGGTGGCAAGTTACGACCGAGGAAGGAGAGTAACGGTTTGGTGGAAGTTGATAGTGAGTCGTTGTTGGCCTGATTGGATGGAAAGTAAAACAGAGATTTGGTGTGCAGAGATTTCGTTTGAGAGACGAGATTTAGGAAAGCTTTGGGGATTTGTTGAATGGTCTAAGAATGTGTTTATTTTCGACGGAGGCGTCTCTTCTGATTTCTTTTTGCATTCGGCTATTGTAACATATTGATCATTGGAATTTTTTTGTATTTCTAGAATTTGTAAGGATTTTTTTTTCTTAATTAATATTTTGAGCACGATTTTAAGAGATATAATAAACCAAATTACATTAGTGATTTAATGTGATTTCTTAAGCCAAATAACAGCGATACCACACTAACGAGTACGCAGATCTCTATGTCAACAAATATTGAATGCTACGTTTACAGTTCAATAACACATCTAAACCACCTTCCAAGTAAAAACAATATATTTCTAACAAAAGTTCGATAACATTACTAATCTCTTCCCTGCTTTCAATCTTTGGTTTCTAGATTTAATAAAACTTTCAAGATCCAGACAACAGAGAAGCAGAGCACAAGTGGGAAAGACTTACCATAAGAGCATCTAGCGAAAGAGATATATCTACAACTACAAAGAAAACTAAATCAAATCCGAGTCATGTAAACCACAAAGTAGACCAATCTGGCTCTTATTATATCAGGCAGAGGGCATTGAGGTAGATATCACGACGTAGGACAGGTACTGAAGCCCTTCCTGGATCTTTGTGATAGCTGTGGTTTGGTCAGAGCGAAGACTATCGTTGAAGGTGCTTGCTTTTTCCTGCATGGTTGATGTTTTCAGAAGATCATCTTTGGAATCAGCAGCAGCAACTCCTTTAATCGCTGCTGAGTATGTATCAGATACATCTGATATACCTGCAATGTGGAAAAGAGTATTTGGAAACTGTCACTTTTCTTCTAGTGTTCCGAGTTTCACAAATCACAAGCATATCTATCTTCTTTTTTAAAATTGGGTTATAGTAGAAGAAATGTTTCTTCTATCTTCTACTCTTACAAATGAAATGACATACTATCCGATAAGATGATTCTAGCAACCCAGGATACTCGGTAAGAAATGCGATAGAGCAATCATAAGGCGCGCTTTTTAAAACACAGGGACCAACCTGTTATAAAACTGTTGGAAACTGCTTCAACATATCCAGCCATCGATTCTGCCTTGCCTTTAATCAGCTTAGCTTTCTCAGTAGGATCCTCTGGCCACTCGATTTTCAATGCCTCGGTGTCTTCATCCTGAACTTTGTTGGCATGAGATATCATGGACTTACCGAGAATAAGCAGATGAGTGACTGCAAAACAGCACATCTCTGAAAGTCTCTGCAGAACAAGATTTTATCTTTTTAGTTAATTGAGTCATATTTCAGCCAAAAAAAGGAAAAATACTGATGGTGGTAGCAAATTCTTCAATATTTAAAAGAAATAAGAAGGGACCAAACTTCGTACATGAACTCCTTCTGAGTGAAGAGATTCAAGCCTGCCACCGGTCCGCTGGATCATATCGTTTACGTTTAGTCCCGCTAAAGCATTTGTGAACCTGATAAACATAAGTGACGAGCAAATAAAAAAGCAGCTCAAAGAATTATATTCCATACACATTTATCTTAATAAGAAAACTTTCATGATGCAAGGAAATCATAGAAAATACTTTCACAAAGATTCCAAGTTTCTAATTTTAACCATCTCTCTTGTCATATAGAGGATTGCATTTGGTTATTGATAATTTGATAAGAAGGGACAACAACAGATTCCTATTTCATTGCAGGGCATTGAAGGGACGTATTGTGGTGATTTTTATGAGAATATATAGAGAACGGAGACTGATGGAAAAATGTAAAATGTAGAATCTGAGAGGGAAAGGGAGACAGTCATAATTACCCAGCAGCCATATCAGCAGCTTTGCTGACACTCGAGTTATGCAGATTCTTCATGTCATCATCATTGCCTTCAGTTTTGATATCAATTTTCTTCCCTTTGTCAGACTCTGCTTTACTTCCACTCATTTCATCAGCGAAGCTAAACAGTTGCTGGATTTGTTTGAGCTTCCCGTCATACAACGATTTTTGATCTGGTGACAATTTCCCCTTTCTCCTGTTGAACAACAGAGTATAGTGGCTTGCCAATGCTTCCAATTCCTGAAAGCACCATACATTGAGAAATTGAGGAAAGACAAAATTGATTATCCAAGAATCAATAGACAGGTGGGTCACCTCAAGCTGCTCAGGACCACCATAAATGTAAAAACATCGATCGAATGTAACTTCCTCAAGTACTTGATCCTTAAAGTCTACCCTATCCTTCTCAGCTCCAATACCAGTCTCTGTAATCAGTAAATCCATGGTTTCCTTGCCCACAAATTCAAGTACTTGCATTCCTTTAGCAGTTAATGCTTTTCCAGTCTGAAGATCAGAAGTATGGGCTAAATGAATTGTTAAGCTACGAAAGACAGAAGACGACAGAAACAGCACAAACCTCCAGTAGGGAAGGTGCACCAGATCCAGCTTCCCTAGGCGAAGAACCTTGCTGGACACTGTTTTCAAGCCTACAAGAAAAATAGTGGAGCATCAATAACTTGATCTTCTTCGTAGGGGAACGGGTCTGTACTCATGAAACAGACGACTTCTGGATTCATTAAGCCAGTCTCACCAGTCATCGGCAAACATTGTATTCTTATATTCAGGAAATGACACATAGCTTGCCCAACATTTTATTGCTATTAATGAAACAAAAATAAGCAACCTAATTTACCAAAAGAAGAATCTATTAAAGTAAATTAACTTGAGTATTAAATGCTCAGAGCCTCAGACCCTTGTTATGTGCAGAAACGGAATGCTAAACAAATGAAGTAATTAATTTTAATGCAGACTTTCCATAAGAAAATTCATGGAGCATTGATAAATCCTTGTAAACATTCAAACTGAACGATTACTTTCCTTCTTGTCAGGATATATAAACTCAGTGGCCTAAACCATATTCCGTTCACAAAGTTTGTACTTTGTACACAGTTAAGATTGAAGCTTTCAGTAAAACAGAGACAAACTAAAAGAAACATACTTACTTTTGCACCAAACTTGTGCCCCCTTTTAACGCATTTCCAAATGCCTGCCAAGCTCCAGAAGTGAAACTCTCAACTGAATCATCGAAAACCTTCAAACCCTGGAAGATGAAAGATCGAGATAAAATATTAATTCTAACACATGAGCAAGTGAAGAAATAATGACTTGAGCCAACTGACAAACTAGCAGAAAAATCATATGGAGGAACAAAGTTCAATGTAGGAAAGAGCATTATCATATTTCCAAGACTTGCCTGGCTAAGAAGCGACTCTTCACTTGCCCCCTCCAATCTCGCAAGAGCTGACTTCTTTAACTTTGCATTCTCATCATCACTATCCTGCTCTGTATCAGCTTCTTCAGTTTTCTCTTCTTCCTTAGCAGAAGATTCAGAGTCTTCATCCACTTCTCCCATATCTGCAATACTTTTCGCCGCTTTCTCCGCCACCGCTGCAGCCTACAGTAGTAGAAAAATTCAAGATATCATAACTCGCAAATTAGTAAAGAGTCTAGATCAAAGAAGTTCCTTCAACAAACAATAAAAGCTCTATCATTTGGTACCATAAGCTTCGGATCCAATATCAAAAACACAAATTGATAAAATTAGGTCAAAATTGGAGTGAGAACATACATTACGAGAAATCTCTTCCGCAGCTTTTTGAAGATCGGAAAGTACAGAGAAGCCAGAGAAACCCCAACCCCAACCACCGGTACTCTTCGGTGGCGCATCGGCATCTGCCACTGTCAATTTCTCAATCTCAGGCTCTTCTCCCTTAACCGGGGATGATTTCTCCTCGTGCATTTGCTTGTCTTCCTCCATCGTTGTTAGCGATCTGGAGATCAAATTAGGGTTTCTCAGAATCGGATTTACCAGAAATGAGATTAGGGTTGTGTGAAGATTTGTCGAAGGAATGAAAATGGGATTAAGAATTTCGAATCGAAAACTGTAATTCAGTTAGCTGTGAAACTCAAAAGACTTGACCGGAAAATCATGCTTATGCTTCGTCGTGCAGCAAAAGCATCTTCAACTATACGCCGTCGTTTTGTATATTACAGTCTAACTTATGTCAATTTTTTCCATAGGCCCAAATGCCCAAATGGCCCAATCGCTTTGCTAAACTAAATAATTAGGGGTGGACAAAAGGCGAGCTTTGTCTTGTACGAGAAATAAAAATTAGTATTTGTGCTTGGCTTAGTTGAAAACGAGTACTTGTAATTTCGAGTATTTGCTAAAAATTGAACGACTTGCGAGTTACTTGCTTTGTCTTATTACTTGTTACTTGCGAGTATTTACGAATTACTTGCAAATAACTTGCAAGTAATTTGCAAGTAACACTTTTCAAATTTTTACATATCTAGATTTTACTTTATTTTTGATGTAACTTTTAAATATGTTCTTAAAACTAATATAATATAAAATAGGGAGATTGACACAAATAGCCCCAAAAAAGTTGTTTTTTCCAAAAATAGCACCTCATTTGAAAAGTTCCACAAATAGCACCATAAACTTCAATTAAACTTAATGAAAATATAAGATATAAAATAAAAAAGAGAGCAAACACTAATCTAATATTAAATTGAATCAAAATTGTTTTCAAATAGTAGAAATATATACCCTAATTTGGAAATAGGGAACCCAAATATAATACCACAAACTAATATTAAAATAAAAATCTCTTTTAAATGGTGAAAATATAAACCCTAAATTGGAAATAGGGAACCCAAATATAATATCATAAACTAATATTAAAATGAATCAAAATCTCTTTTAAATGGTAGAAATATATACCCTAAATTGGAAATAGAGAACCCAAATATAATATTTTAAATTTATTTCTAATTTATTTTGTTGAATAGCTTTTATATAAAAGTTGTGGTATTATTGAAAAAAAAAAGCTAGTGATAAAATTTTTAGAACAAAAACACTATTAGTAAGTTAACTAGTGCTATTTTTGGAAGTTTATGGAGTGTGTGCTATTATTGTCAATAAAACTTGTTTTAGGGCCATTTTTAGGAATTTCTCTATAAAATATATGTATATAAAATGGTAAAATAATAACGAGTAACGGGTCAACAAGCCGAGTATAAATTTTTTTCAACTACTTGTTGCTTGGCTTGTACTTGCAAGTATCTAAATTATACTACTTGGTACTTGCCTTGATAACAACGTGTACTTGTTTTTTCAATGCGAGTACGAAGCAAGTAACGGGTACGGGACGAGTAACGAGTACTTGTGCCCAGCCCTAAAATAATGATCTCTCTACAATTTTTTTTTTTTAATACAAAATATGAATTTTCTTTATCCATAACATGAACGACACTAAGAAGTGTATTATTTGTTCACTTTGTTAAACAAATGTGGCAAGTGGCGGAGGTAGTGTTATACCATGGGGTCAATTGACACCCATAAATTTTTAAAACTTAGTTTAATTTGATTAATTATTTATTAATTGATTCCATTACAAAATAAAATTTGACCCCATCAAATTTTAATTTAAGAGAAAACCACTAAATATTATATATCAAAAAGAATTATTATAATTAAACTCATTACAAATAAATTTTTTTAAAAAAAAATATATATATATCCATTAAAATGAGTTCAAACCTAAATATCACTATTCTTTCGCTACTTTATGATTTTTTTCTTTTTCCTCTATTTCAATTAACATTATCCATTGAAAATCATATTGGAAAAAAAAATTTTAACTTAAAATTTATATATTTTTTAGTTTGACATGAAACGTCTTGATGATTTTGCTCATATATTACAAAGACAAATATGTCTCATTTTTTTATTTATCGACTTTTAAAATTATTTTTTATGTTTTAATATGCAATTGCAACAGTTAAAAGAAATTTCTTTACTATGAATATTTTGAAAACGACTTCGTATCGTTGATACAATTTCAAATAACTTTCTAGTTTTTGAATGAAAAATACGTAACAATGTGACAAACAAAAAAATAATAAAACATTTACAAGATATAAATTATTTTATGATAGATTTCTAAAAATTATATTTGATTATATTTTATTTTTTTAATAAAATTATATATTTTCTATATTAAAAAAAAATTGATCCCTATAAACAATTTTTTTGGCTTCGTCACATCAACGAAGTTCATTTTTCAACATCGGGAGCAGAATTTATGTGCAAATCTACTAGCCAAAATGGCAATTATTTGTAGTAATCAATATTTTATGTATCATTAATGTCCTACTTTCGTACAACTCTTATAAACGATAATGCTGATTATAGTGATTAATAAATTTATTGAAAGAAAAAAAAATATTATTTGTACATTCACAAGATTCACTCATTATTTAGTTATACTAAAAATGATAATTTGCTTTGTTAAAGAAGTTGAGAAATTTTATTTTTCTTCCAGAATCATTAAACATTGAAATGAACACTTCTGTGAAAATCTAACATGTGACTCTGAACTAAAACAGACGGACAAAAAAAAAAACTATTAAAAGGTTCATGATAAATCCAAACTACTCAACTCCTTGGTGCTCTGGAGGGAAAGGAAGATGTCTATGAGTTTGCTTTTGTGGCGTATGCAGTCACTGAGCTCCCTTACTTTGCCTCACTGCAGTTTAGGAAAAAAAGGAATGAATGAAGAGATCGAGTCAGACCTCCACGGACTCACCAAATATGAGGAGAAAGCATTGGAGACTATCAAGCCCAAACTGAAAGCTGACATCGAAAAGCCCAAATTAAACTTGTATCATTTTGTTTTTGGGTTTCCATAAATATAAATATGGCTGGTATGCTTTACTAGATTAATTTAATTTATTATTTTAAATTTTTAGAATCTATTTATGGATAGAAGGTTAGCTTGGTTTACTCCATCCATTGATGTCTAGTATGCTTTACTAGATAATGATCCTTTTATATTACAAAAGATCGAGACATCACCTTATATACACCGCTTCATGAAACATCAAATTTTAGAAAAATAGACATGGTCATGGAGTTAATGCCATCGTTAATGTTTTAACTAAATACATGAGGACTTAGACTATTCTATCTTACAATAGAGAACAATCAAGTCGAGATCTCACTAGAGCTATGTGGATGTCGGATTCTAACACTCAAATATTTATATTATTTATGGGCTAAAACTCTTAAGGTCAAAAGTACAAGACAAATACGTATAACAAAAAGTATGAAGATGTGAGTAGACACGTAAACATAAAGTAGTATTGTATTAGTAATGTATGAAAATTTAGGTATATGGGGTCTTATATCTATACACAATGATTTACACTTATGATTTACACTTAAATGACTAATAAATGTAATAATTCTCCTTCAATGTGTTTATTTTGATTTTTTCTTCAATGTTGTAACATCCTTGTTTAAATTCCTTCGGACCTTTCTTTGGCTTTTAATATGCTCGGTCCACCCTCTGAATTCGAAATCCCTCTCAGTTTCACCTCTCTTATGCGAGTTCTTCCGTTTGTCGTAACGAATATTATGACTTCGGCTCGGATACTCAGTTGTGAGCCCCCTCATGATGATTTGGTGATACGTGGATATCTGCTTTTGGATCCTGAACTGAGAGTTCGGGATCCGACACCAACAAGCTAGTCAATTTTGATCACAATTTGATTCATCTTTGCGTCGGAGAAAATAAATTTCTCAATAATAACTGTAAACCATTTATATTTTTTAAAATATATAACTCCATATGTATGAATTTTCATAATTCGACATATTCGCTATGAGGTAAGTTAATTTTCGTTGAAAAAGATTTTACTAACTTATCAGAAAATTTTGTGAGGATGATTTGATTATGATATTATTGCGGTTAATGCAGTGTTATGAGTTAATACATTCATTCGCTATGAGGTTTTGTTTTAAATTTAAAACCTATCACTTGGAATATGAAATTCATGTTGTTTAAAATTTTTTATTTTTTTTTCATACAAAATTAACATGTTGTCTTCTCTCTTTCTTGTGATTTTGTCATCTCCCTTTGAAATAAATCCAAATTCAAATTGCGAGTTGTCATATTTCTTTGCAAATCTTTGATTTTCTCCTTTTCTATATTTTCTCCTTTAACCAAAAAATCTAATTATATAATTCAAATTTGGTCAAACTAGTTTTATATGGCTACATCTAATTGCCAATTGAAATGGAGAAAAGTACCACACAAAAGCAATTCAGTTTCTTCCACATCTTCCTTCTCCACATTTTGTTTTAGTAGGAATTTAATTAGACGGACAACACACAAAATCAAAATGAAGAAAGAAAGTTTATGGGTTTATGTAACTTTCTTTAAGGACCCATAACTTTCTCTGTTGGCCCAGTGGCCCATTAGCTTTGCAAAACAAAGTCAACTATTTAAAGACCCGCGCTTACTCTGCTAGTCTAGAGTAAAAAAATCGAGGCCAAATCTTTAGCTACTTTGATCGGTAATTTGTTCACCTAAGAAAATATCTTTATTAACGAATAAGATATCGCAAATATGTAGATTCTAGGATACCATCATAAACGGCCTTAAAGCACAAGAGAAGAAGCATAACAACAACAACTCTGTTTTTGAAGTGTTAAAATCTTTTATGGACCAAAAAGATGTTATAAACTGTTACTACACAAACTTTGTACGATTCTTTAAGGAGTTAATGCCACTACGATACATTGCCCTCCCTTTCTTTTTCTTCTTCTTCTGTCTTCTTCTTAGTTATCTTCTGTTTTCCTCATGACGTGATTCATATAAAGACTTCACTCTCTCTAATATTAGTAGCCTTGGAACATTGGAGGTGGTGGTGAAGCATATTGGTGGCCGATGAATGGTGGAATAATGAACTCTTCACTTGGTGGTGGTGCTTCTACCGTCCGTGTTGGTGTTTGTGGTGGAGGAGAGTTGGCCGGTGTTTGTGTTGGTGGTGAACTCATCTTTGGGGGTAAATGTGGAGGAGAGTAGACTGGTGGTGGTGGTGGAGACTTTACTGGCGGCGGTGGAGGAGAATGTACTGGTGGTGGTGGGGAATATACAGGTGGTGGTGGAGAGTATACCGGTGGAGGTGGTGAATGGACTGGCGGTGGTGGCGGTGGAGAATAGACTGGTGGTGGAGGAGAGTGGACCGGAGGCGGTGGTGAATGGACTGGCGGAGGAGGAGAATGTACGGGCGGTGGTGGTGAGTGGACTGGTGGTGGTGGCGGTGGAGAATAAACCGGTGGTGGAGGTGAATAGACTGGTGGCGGTGGCGGTGGAGAATAAACCGGAGGTGGTGGTGAATGGACTGGCGGTGGAGGAGAATGTACCGGCGGCGGTGGCGGTGGTGAATGGACTGGCGGTGGAGGAGAATATACTGGTGGTGGTGGTGAATGAACTGGTGGTGGTGGCAGTGGAGAATAAACCGGTGGTGGTGGTGAATATACTGGTGGTGGGGGCGGTGGAGAATATACTGGTGGTGGTGGTGGTGGAGAGTGAACCGGCGATGGAGGTGGGGGAGAGTGAACCGGAGGTGGAGGTGGACTACGCCGGAACTTCACAGGTGACTGATCATATGGGTCATTTGGTTGCGGTGACTCTTTCGGTGGTTGTGGTTTATGAACCGGTGATGGAGTTGAATGGACCGGCGGTGAGGGAGGAGGAGAAAAAACTGGCGGTGTAGGCGGTGGAGAGTGAACCACAGGGTGATGTGGTTTTTGTGGTGGAGGCGGGCTACGCCGAAACTTCACTGGAGATTGATTATATGGGTCATTTGGCTGTGGTGATTCTTTCGGTGGTTGTGGTTTATGAACTGGCCTAGTTGGCAAAGGTGATGGAGACTTCGACGGTGTAACGTGGCTAGAACCACCAGCACACTTGTCCTTACTACAATCGACTGGACGGCTAATCACCACCGCACATTCCTTGGCTGATCGTTGCTTAGGTCGATCTGGCAAGCAGTTGCGTGTATCATCCAATGCAATCTCCTTCTGACTACCTGGGACACATGAATCACCTTGCCCGTTGAAGTAATTGTAGGCGTACGTCAAGTTAACTAATTTAGGCAACTTGCAGATATTCTCTGGCATGAACCCAGTGAGTTTATTCCCAGAGATATCAAACTCTTCTAGACTAGTAAGCCCAACAAAGCTTGGAGGTAGAACACCGGTGAAGGAGTTCATGCTAGCGTCAAACACGTTCACATTGGCTAGCTTCCCGATCTCTGATGGGAAACAACCGCCAAGACTGTTGTCCTTAAAGATAATCTCGTTGAGATTCTTCATGTTTCCAATACTTCTAGGGATACAACCGCTGAATTTGTTGTGAGCAAAGGTCACGACAGAGGCTGAGGATTCTCCGAGGGAATCAGGAATGGTAGACGTGAATCTGTTGTTGTTCAAGAAAATGGCATCGAGATCCTTCTTGAAAAGCTCAGGAGGGACTTGACCTTCGAAATCATTGTATCTGACGTCAATGAACTTAACAGTCGGCCATGAGAGGACAACAGAAGGGAAAGGTCCGACGAACCGGTTGTTGCTGACATCAAACTCGTGCATTAGGCTCAACTTCTCGAAGCTCTTGGGTATGATACCACAGAACCGGTTCGAATTTAAATGGAACATCGCCACATCCGTCATCAAACCAAGTTCAGCCGGTAAATGCCCTGCAATATCCGCACCATTCAAATCAACCCCCGCCACAACCGCGACGTTAGGATCATCAAGAGCCGGGGCGCAGAACACACCCGTGTAGCCACACACATGAGGTCCATGCCAGTTTCCCGTGGTGTTAAACGGGTCTGAATACACCGCCTTTTTCCAGGCTTGGAGAGCAATATACGCTCTCTTAAGCCTATGGTTCGCAAATGTCACCTTAAGATCAACCTCATACTCAATATCATCAGGAAGTTCGCCATTTTCGGGTAACGTCAAGAGCTGTCGTTGTGCAATAAATGAAGCTTCTGCATCGGTGAGTGCTAAAACAACAGAAGAGAAGAAGAAGAAAGAAAAGAAAAAGAGGATGCAGCCAAAGGGCGAGAAAGAAAATGGAGGTTTAGTCATGGCTTAGAACAAAACCTTGGAAAATACCCAAGGGCTGCTTATAGATATGGGGCATAGAAAGGTTCGATGAAAACACCAAAGGGTTATTATTAATAATGTCAAACAATTTTCATTTCGCATCACCAAACAAATCTTTTGCCTATATTTAGAAGACTCTTGTTTTCCTTTCAAAGATTTAGCTTCACATCCGGAGAACAAACATAATCAAGAATAGAAATCTATTCGTAAACAAAAACCGCGTAGTACTATAACAGGCACACGGCATTAAACAAACTGAAAACATTCGCGAACATCAAGCAATAACAACCACATTTCTATGGCAATATGATCACATCTTAATAAAGAGAGACTACATGATCTAAAGCAAAACCAAGAACTATATTTACATATAAGTGTGATAAGAAAACAACTTTCTAAAGGTACCGTAATCCGCTTTCAGTCGGTTTCGTGATCAGGAACGTGAGAGAACCAAGCAGGGATAGTTCCTTTAGTTCTAAGCAATCTAGTGAAAGCGGAATCCGGCATTTTCGATTTCTCTTTTTCCTCCAATTCTTGTTCAGATTTTGGTAAACCATCAGGAATATGAATATGTAATTTCATTCCTTTCTCTCTATCTGATTCTTCTCCTACATCTAAACCATTCTTTGTTTTGTTATCTTTCTCCATTGAAGCAACTCCATGTAAACACCCGATTAACGATTTCACACCGCCTGTTTGCAAAATCAAATTCTCAACTTCAACCTTAGGCTTCTCTCTCTGCAATCACATAACCAAAACAAGTGTGAATTCTCAAGTCACTATCACTAAATTCTATGGATTCTCAAATTGCAAAATATTTACTTCGAGATCTTTGAGTTCAAAGTAAGCTCTCCAGCAACTGTAAGAATCATCACCTTCAAGCGTCGAACAGTAATCTGAAATCAAAATCAAAATCAAACCTAAATCAGAACATGTTCGTCTATGTATCGAAAGCGAATGAAATTGTTGAACCTGAGAGTTCGGTTTCGGCTTTTTCAATTAGAGGCGGATCTTGAAGAATCCGGTCGAATTTTCCGCGGCTGAAGAGTTCAAGCTTAGGGACGTCTCTGGTGCTTGAACAACGAACCACCGGGAAGGATCTCGCCGGAAAACAAGACGGTGTGGCGAATTTGGTGTCGTTAAACTCAAGAGGGAGAAGAAACGAACGAAGAGTCACGGATTTTATCATCTCTAGGTACTGAAGATATTATCAAAACTTTAATCAGAAAAATTGGAAACTAGGAGTGAAGTGGATAAGGATTGAGATTTTTGTATTTATAGAGAGAAGAAAAAGTTTTGATAGTGACGGAGATAGTAATAAAGTGATGATTCCAATATGGCCCATAGTATGAGCGCCGTTGATTTTTATATTATTGTGTATATTTCGGATAAGATTATAAAATATCTTAGATTGGTAGATAGCTGCCACCACTGTTTTTTTTTTTTTTTTTTTTTCCATCTGAGAATATATTATAAATTCAAGTCAAATTTACCTAGTTTGACTCAAAACTTTGCAAAAATAACTAGAATGACTCTCACTCCAAATGGATAACTAGAATAACCCAAATTTTATGTAAAAAGACTATTTAACCTTTTATTATGCCATTTCCTTTAAAAATAAAAATCAAATTCGTTTTTTTAATTAAAAATCAAATATGACAGTTAATTTTAACAATTCTGCTACATTAAAATTAAGTCTGCCATATCCTAATTTTGCAGATTTTTTTAAAAATTGCCAAACATAATCTTGTCGTGATAAAATCCGATAAATCTGTCATGATAAAATAAAAATCTGTCAAAACATGAAAAAATTTGTTGTCACTAAATAGGTCATTCCAGTAATTTATTTTTAATTCAAGAAATCTGCTATAAAACACCAGATTTTTGTAAATTAAACATAAATCTGGCATAACATAAAAAAAATCTGTCATAATGTTAAACATATCGGTTGCGACTATATGTCATTCTAGCAATTTTAATTTTTTTTAAACAAATCTGCTATAACATTCCAGATTTTTTGTTAACATTAAAAAATCTGTCATAACGTAAAACAAATCTGTGAGCACTAAAAAGTCAAACTAGTAATTATTTTTTATTAACAAATCTGCTGTATTATGACAGTTTTTTTTCCAAAAAATATAAGTCTGACGCCATTAGAAACAAAAATCTGCTACATATTGTAATAAAACTGTCAAAATTACGAAAGTCTGAGGCATCATCATAAAATAAGTCTGGCAAAGTAAAAAAATCTGGTACAAATTAAATATCTGTCGTAACCATATTCAAATAAGTCTGTGGGAGGAAAAAAACTGCCGCAGAAAATCTGTCGTAGACTATTAAGTCTGTCAGAGAAAATAAATCTGTCACAACGACGCCCACAGACTTTTAACGGCAGATTTGTTTTTTCGAAAAAATTTCATCCACGTTTCCAGAAAAATCAGAGGGTATTATTGACTTTATTTTTTTTCCTAACAAAGAGAAAAAGGGTATTTTGGTCAGGAAAATAACTAGATTAACTCATACAATTTATGAGTTATTTTAGTAATTAAACCCTATTTCTAGGTCAAACTAGTTTTTTTCCCTAAATTCAAGGTAATCACCACGGTTAGAAAAAGCTACACTATGTCAAGGAACCCTGAAACACAATAGCCTATTCTAGCCACAACTCCATAACCCACAGGAGAAGAAAGAATGAGCTCAAAAAACACAGCTACAAGAGCAAACAATGCTCACACCAACCAAAAAAATCTCAAAACACTGAGCATCAATCAAACCAAAAGACTCACACATAAACAGAGGACAAACCTTTCTCCTCAATGAAAACACTATTTAGCCACATACGATGACCTGCAGCCACATAAGATTGAACACGCGGATCCCCTGTAACACTCTGGGCAATAAGGTTTGCTCCACTGTTTTCATTTTCTTGAACTTTTTTTTTTCTTTAAACAAGTGATAAGATCAAGGGAACATTCAAAAACAAATACAAGATGAAAAAAAAAAAAAAAACAAATACACCAAGATTGCTTGACTTGAAGAAGAAAAAGACAATTCCAAAAATATATTTATCTTCTCTTTCTTATAAAGACAAACTAGGTAAGAACCCATATAATATTATTTAATTTTATAAAAGAATAATTAAAAAAATTAACTAAAAGTTTTTATATTAAATTGTGAGTTGTCAAAAACTAAATTTTGTAAATGCGCTAAAATATTTTAAATTAAAATAATGATATATATAAATATCATGCAACAATATAGTCCTTTGATCTATAAATAAACTTACAAATTAATTTTTCAAATATTTTAATGATTATAGAGTTTATTTATAGATAAGTTTATTTTCAAATAAATTGCATTTACGTCGTTCATAAATTTAGACTTATAGATTTACGGATTTAGTATAAAATTTTATAATATATAAAAAGAATATGTTGATGTTCAAATGCATATACTATATGTTATATTGTTTAGTTTTCAATGGAAAAACACAATGCATTTAATATAAAAAAAATTTCTATAAGAGTTTTCTAATTTAAAAGATCCAGATATTTAATTTCGGTAAGTTTAGTTAATAAGAATTAGTAGTTAGTACTATAGGGAATTAAAAGTGTTATAGTGGAACCCTTAATTATAATTACGTCATTCACTACCAGTCTTATAATTTACATTTTGGTTTCTTCATCACTTCCATTTCGTATAATTAAAAGTGTTTGGCAAGATTTCTTCTCCTGGTAAATCTTCATATTTGCATTTTGGTTTGTTAGGATTCGTTGTTATTAGGCTCTGTTTTGATTTGGGTGGCTAATTAGCCAGTCACATGTTAGCCTTATGGCTACTGTTTGTGTGAATGGTCAGTAAGCACACCTATGGCAATGTCGTTGGTGATTCGTTTTAACACTAAAACAGGATTCAACCCAGTTTTGGTTATGGATCATCAACTATATCTTTGTTTAGAGTTTCTTGTAACTGTATAACATAACAATGGTGCCCAATTAGCCGATCACATATTAGCCATATGGCTGCCACTTTCTATGATTGGTCAGTATGTCACCAATAGCACTATCTTCTTGGTAGCCTTTTCTGATTGTGAGCAAATTTGTGTGCTCTTTTCTTGGCTATTAACTGTACACGGTACACATTAAAGTACTCATTTTTTATGAACCACATCCTCTTCAGCTAGTAAGTAGTTCCTAAGTATTTGTTTCTCTAAATAACAGCACAACATTTTGATATTGTAAATCTCTCTATGGGTGGACACGTTAGTCAGCCGGATTCTTCTTTATGCGTGTGGCCGTAATGCCCACCCAGATGTTTTGTTGGTGGCTTCTTGCACGAAAGTAGATTTCTGCTTTCACTTCCTAGCTACCAACTACATTTTTGAGTTAAAGTTTTTGATGGAGAAATATCTTGCTTTACCATCTTAAGTGTACTTTTATTTTGAGGTTTTGAGATCTTTATTCTTTCGGATATTTCAGGTAGCAACGATGAACAGTCAAAGGTATCAGGAGAAAGCATGTCTCAGTTGGGCAAACCGGGTACGGTCCCAGTGTCGTGCTAAGGTATATGGTGGCTTAAGGCAAAAATAAGTATAAAAAAAAATCTTAAGGCAAAAAAATTTTAAGACAAAAAAAATCTTAAGGCAACACCATAAACACGTCACTGTGCGGTCCTCATGGTCTGCAGGTTATGCCACAAGAAAGGTGACCACTGGACATCAAGGTGCCCACAGAAGGATCTCTTAGCCTTAATGGACGAGCCTTTAACAGCAGAAACTTCTACATTGACCATAGCTGGAACTGGAACTGGCTGTGCTGCTTATGTCTCATTAAGCTTGAGAGAAGGTGCAGACAGAAAAGCTGGTGGTTAAGACATGAGGAGTAGAAATGAGGGGAACTCTATCCGACTGTCCGTGTGACTAATTTGTCTGAAGATACCCGCAGACCGGATTTGATGGAGTTGTTTCGTCCGTTTAGTGCGGTAACCTGTTGTCATGTAGT